CTACATATGCCTTAACCTTTAGTTTCGCTCAGACATTTATTTTAACCATTTTTTCGACTTATTTGAAAACTACTCGGCCTAAGTTCATGAAAACTTTACGGTTTTAGTTTTATAACGACTTTTACGTTGGTGCCATGAAATTTTTGCCCGAGAAGACCCCTAGTAAGATTTTGTGATGAATAATTTTAAAAGATTTGTTATTAAGTCGAGATTCAGAAGTTGCGCTTTTTTTTAACAATCTGGACAACCTAACAGGCTACCACTTCAACCCAATCTAACCTATTCAATAGTTGGCCAGAATACAAGTTTTATTGCGTTACCGCGACAGTCGGCATTATGCCACAATACTCTTTTGGAGAACTTTCTGTTATTACAACAACAACAGACGGTTGATTACAAAGAACTCCCCGATGAGCTGCGAGCGTATTTTTATTATTCCAGATAATCCGGGTTTTGAAATAATTTTTGGGCTCGCGCAACTTAGTCTAGCCGCTGCAAGCTAAGTCAACTGCTACAGTACAAAAAATCGCGCTGACCTTTTGGGCTTTCTATTTCCATTTACGTTTTAGTTTCGATTGTTCCACAAAGCTCTGCTCCACACTCAGCAAATTCAGAGCGCAAACTATTTCTACCCAACTGCAATCCATCGGAATCATCGCCACTTCATATCTGAGATATATTTGCGCTGTAAGATAGCCTAGACATACCGATAAAAAAAACATTACACACTTTACAAAAAAATCCACAATGTATCGAATTCGCACACAAAGTAGCGTAGCGCGCACTTAACACTAATAAACGGATGCCGTTGTTCACTGCACGCGGCATGCTGTTTGCGAATATTTTCAACATTTGTTTTTTACTTTTTTTGCTATTTATCGACTGTGTTTTAGCCAACTGACAGATTTTTTCAACCAGACAAGGCACACTTAAAAGTGTATGTATGCATGTTCGTGCCGGCGCGCGCCATCAATCGCCGCATCATTTCCTATACACATGCCATTTATTTGCTAATAAACCCAATTATGCTTTTACTAATTTCATTATTGAACCAAACGCGGAACACCCTTTGATAAATTGTTATTACATTCTTAACAACGGGGCGTATAAGTAACACCAAGAAATGTATTTGATACAGTACATAAATATGTATGTAGCTGGTGAACAATTAATTGACTCCACATTGCATTCAAATGTTTACATACATTAATATACATATGTATTTACATCGATACATAGATGTATGTATGTATGTACATAAAGTTATGAAAAAACATTGTTTAAATACGAACCGGTTTTCCAAATGCCGGCAAAGTCAGTACATACGTCAATTGTAACTTTGCCGCATGCCGGTTGTCCTTGCACTGAAAACTATTTCAAGTGCATGGACGCATCTCGGTTGGCCTTTCTCGCCAACACATGCACATGACACAAAATGCGATAAAATAGTAAAACAACTGATGAGAGATACATGCAATGCAACGGTAAAAATATCTCAAGGTTACCAATTAGGCAATGCATTGCGTAAAAAAATCCCCATATGAAAGTAAATTGTAACTACGTTGAGAATTAAGCCAAAAGCGAAATGTGGTCTACATATAAAAATACTTAATAAGGCAGGCAGTTAATGAAATTCCGTTATAATATTTATATGGAGTTTTGATTGGGAGCAGTTTCAACAATATGTCCGCTAGGAAATTTTAAGAAAAAAAAATTAATCTAGCAATGATATTATGGCTTATTAACATTTTATTTTTAATATTGTTATTAATAAACATAATCGTGGTACAAAGCTCAATAACAATATTAAAAATAAAAATTCATTTAATTGTTCGCCGAGCTCGAAAAGGCGAAACTTCAACCCCATGATTGAGTTTTTGAAGCGGTCATATAAGCGCTGACCCCATCCCCCGCAAGACCTAAAAAACAGATTTGCATGGTGACTTCGATGCCAAAGTAATCAATGAGGGGATCTCTGGTCCGCTAATGGGCTGTAACCGATGTACTTCTCTACGCCTGAAAAGCTTGTTAGGAGTTGTACTCTTACTGGCTTTTCCAAACGAACACAACTACTGCCCGAAATGCGTGAGTGCGAATAGATTTAAACGCCGAATAAGCACCCAAAATTTTTCCTAGGATATGAAATTCCTGCAAAAATTTTCCTGGACCTTCTTAGCNATGCGTGAGTGCGAATAGATTTAAACGCCGAATAAGCACCCAAAATTTTTAATAGAAGGATATGAAATTCCAGCAAAAATTTTCCTGGACCTTCTTAGAGCGAATTGAGACCAGACAGTTGAAAAATAGATCAAATGTTCCCAATACGCAAAATATTAGAAAAGATCTTTAAAAGCCTAAATAACTATCAACATCATGGAAAGCACCCGTATCCGTGTACGGGAAAAGTGCCGCCTATGGTAACGGTGACAAAATATGTCTGCAAGCTCGGTAAGTCTAGGTTCAGACACGGAAACTTTTGTTGCGGCAACTCGAAGTTTGTCGAAGAGAGGGCGACGAGGAAAGGGGAAGGGCACCGAGTTCCTCGTGCTCGGGCAACACGCTTTGTGCTCTAGTTCGTCTAAGCATTTCAAGTTGGCGGTTCGCAGCTGACAACAACAATTGTGTGCAAAAGAGTTGCTCTGTGTGAATGCGACGGGCAACACCAAAAGGGAAGTTGCCGAAAATGAGCAACAAAAGTTTCCGTGTCTTAACTCAGTCTAATTGCTCATTTAAATACGGCGATTTTTGTTGCGGCAGCTCGACGTTTGTAGGAGAGAACGTAACGAGGAAAGGAAAGGGCGCCGAGTTCCTCGGTCAACACGAATAAACAACTCCACAGCTCGCTTCTGCTAAGCAAAATTTCTTTAGAAATTTACGACATGGTCAAGGATACATTCACTTTGACAGTGCTGGACAGATATGATTTGAACGTTACATCTCCCTGGATGACTAAGCGTCAGTCCTTATGATGAGTTCAGGGTCTAAAACGTCTTACTTGGAAGGTTGGACATCGAGCCGTTCGTAGACCATCCGTTTGACGAAGCACTATAGAAAGTGGCATTCAATAACCTACAATGCAATTCCTAGATATATTAGGTCGCCCTCCATCCATCAATATTGAGCAAGCTCAACTGCTGGATGAAGCCAAGTGCACCCTAGCAGAGCTCAGATCCTCGTGGTGGCACAGGCTCAACAGCTAGCTACCTTGGCTGAACCCAGATGCGACATAGACTTATCTAGCTTGCGTTCAAGGCCCTCAAAACACCCTGTCGACCATTTTCTCGGCCTCCGTCTTGCCGAGCCAGAGACCAATATGTGGTAAAATTAGCATTTTAACAGAGAAAATGTAAACTCGGGTTACGCCATCCAAGTTTTTTTTTCTTTGCGTAGAACACCTTTCCGCGTTGACGGCCTTGGGTCTCGCTTAGAAAAAATAACCCAACTCTGGCTACGCTGACGACAATAATTTTGCGCAGAACGCCTGCTCAGCTGCTCAGCATACAAGTAAAATATAAATTAATTTAAGTAACACATACATAAAAAAACCAAAGTCATAAGTATTCCAATTGCACCATCCGTGTCTTTGCCTGGGTAAAAGATTGTCGTAAGCGCCATTTTGACGATTTTTAGTTCAAAATGCAGTTATATATTTTGAAATAAGGTCTTTCGATTGGTGTTATCAGTTTTTAGATATCTCCTATAGTTTCCGAGATATTGACTATAATTTTTTCCATAATTTAGTAAAAATTTAATTAGTGATGCAGCCATATTGAACTAATCAATATCTTAAAAATGGCGTTGTCCATTTTCGGATATCTCCTTTTGTTACCACCGTCAGTCGAAGCAACCTGGTCACCGTTACACATTACGATATTATCAACGTTTCTCTGTAACAGAGTTCTTGTATACTCTTACTTAAAACGACATTTTTTGCTATCATATTCTTTTATTGTTCATATCCTTTATATTCTTGTACTTGTAGTATACATACAAAACTATAAAAAGCGGTTCTTAAAAGATCACACCACCTCTCGTTGTGAAAAAGGCGCACTAAATACACGAAATATTTTAAAGCGCTAAAAATCGCTTACTTAGTAAATTGCTGAAATTGTAAAACCGCTAGTTTTGTTAATTGTAATTAACATAGTAAAAACTACACTGAAGAACAATAAACGCTAAATAAAAGTTAAGTCGAAGTAGTGCTATTGAAAATTCGTATTTTTAATCAAGTGCGCTAACACCTTTAGTTTCCGAGATATGGAGTAAAAAGTATGGTTAATTTGGTAGAAATTTTGATCACATTTTGTCGTATTTCATACAAAGTGGCTGCCAAATTGTGGACAAATGACGCTTACGACAAAATTTTACTAAAGAAAATCCTTCATAAACCCAAAAGTAATTAACAATATACATTAAAAATTAAATAATTTAAGAATTTTGTGAACTAGTAACATTTTCCGAGACTTTGGAGAAAATCTATCTTCGCGTTTTTGAGAAATTGCATTCCAAACTTCAATCGCGATTTCCCACAACCTGCCGAAATTAACATACGACAATCTTTTACCCAGGCGACGATATGGAAAACACACATTAATCTAGATTATGTAAACAGAATATAATGTGCAATCGTGCACAATAAACGCCGACGTAATTCCATAGAATACGGCGCAATAATTCCAAATCAACTACATCTGTCGCCGTCGTATATATGCAGCCAACGGCGCATAGTTTTGTTTTTGTTGGGCATTTTTGTTGCTGTGTTTCCATCCGCCGGCGATTCTAGTTTGGCGATTTGATAAAATATTTCTGATTGTTTCTATTTCGCATTATAAATATTTAATGGTTTTAAAATGTTGTGAAATATATAAAATCTTAACTTTAGGCGTCATGGTTTAGTGTATTGCCGGGGTTACGTGCCAAAGAGCATATACATAGACACAACAAAAGATAAGTCTAAAGAAAACCACCAGCAAAAAAAGCGCTTGGTTAGTNGCATATACATAGACACAACAAAAGATAAGTCTAAAGAAAACCACCAGCAACAAAAAGCGCTTGGGTAGGTTGTGATAAGTGAGGTGGAGTGTGCGACGTTCAAGCAGCCAGACAAGCTGAAAAATTAAATATTGTAGTAAAAATATCGGATTGTCGTTATTGTAGAAAAGATTTTCTAATATTTTTGCATTTCCCTAGAGACTTTCGAGAGCTACTTGTCATTCAAGGCCAACTGGTTAAAACATACGAAGAAAAAACTAAAATGACCTCGGTGATCAAGTATATGTCGCTACTGACCACCTGCTCGGTGTTTGCAGCTTTAATCTCCATCGTTTGGCAAGCATTTTTGTCACTAAAGCAACTAAATAAAATAACTACAATACTCACTGGGCTCCTGGCTATAGAAAGTAGCTTAAAAAGACCACTCCAGGCGCCAAAGGTCGCAGTTGGTTACGGTGCTTGCACCGATTTGCTGCTCCATGCAACCGAATTTCTAAACTATACCAACGATTTGGTAAAGGGTATCGGTCCAGAATTTACAGTGAATGAGGTGAACGACAAGCAAGAACTATTGCAAACGTTTGCCTACTATTTCCAAAATGGTGCAGCTGCAGAGTGAGTAAATTTCTTTTAAATACAACTTAATATTTAGGTTAAGTATAACTACTGCATTCATGCTATTTTAATAGGCGGATTATGCCCAACACCGAACTTTTTCGGGAACTAATACAGATAGCCAAGTCTCGGCATCGCAATGGTATACAATGGTTTCTTGGCGGCAATGCGCCTCTAATGGGTACTCGTTTTCACTTGGAAGGAGCCAATGTGTTGCTGGGAGCGCGAATGTCACGGAAGCAAGTGTTTAGTATAATTAAAAAGAGCAATTATTTGAATAATTTTTATTCCTACATATACAGATTGCGTCGACTTGTGCCAGCGGATATAAAAATTGCAGGCGATGAAATTCCCGAGGATGACATCCATCTCATATTGGAATATAAGTCGGGCGACACATGGGGCCCGTTTAAAGCACCACGTGCCAACCGCTATATACTGCACAGCGATCAAAATAATCCACATTTGAACTCCGTTGAGCACTTCGACGCAGCTTTACGTAGTTTTCAACCACGTTTGCTAGTCATTAGTGGTCTACAAATGATGGATAGCTATAGGTTTATCCCGGGGGTGCGTGAAGCTCGTCTTCTCAAAGTCCAAGATCAAATCACTTCACAAGCACCAACGACATTGCAACATTTCGAAATGGCAAGCTATGTCGAAATTGAACTATTGCAACTTTTGCGTCAATATGTGCTACCCTATGTGGACTCATTGGGCATGAACGAGCAAGAGCTGGAAAATTTGCGTCAAGTACTTACACATGGGCGCACCACACTTGCAACTGATTGGAATCCACGAGTTGCTACCGCACTAGATCAAATGCGTTCCGTATTTCAAATATTGGCACAAGATTACTTCAGAAATGTTACTGGCTTGTCGCATAGACGCCTATTGACGCGCATACACGTGCACACTCTAGCCTACCAAGCACTGCTGACCGTACGTGATTCACGGTGGGAACGAACACAACTAGCTGCGGCCAAAGCAGCGCTTACTGCTCACCGACATGTTTGCCAAACAGATATGGTAAATTTGTATGTAATATGTATTGAGAATGGGATTAAATAAAATTTAAATTTCAGATCAATCCTGAAGCCGCATCACTAGTCTTAGATGACAGTTTTGCTACTACAGCAAAGGACAAGGATGCTGCTAGGCGCATACAGTTCAGTCCACAACAACCTGTGCCATGCTGGAATGAAACAATTGCTGTCAATCAGCAAAAATCATTACCCATCGAAATCTGTGTAGCACCAGTGTTAGTGTGCCGTGTCGCTAAGAAAACTGCTGGTGCTGGTGATAATATATCAGCCGCTGCTCTGTCCCAGCAATTATAAATTAATGAAAAGTAATGAATTACATATAACGAGTGCCCTCACCAACCGACTGCTGTAACCCAGAGTGACCTTATAAACATGATCATCCTGTGACCTTTAGAGGAGAGACTACATAAAAAAAACATTCCTTTTGTACTCCTCTATGCAAACATTCCTGTATGGCCAATTTTGACCTATTATATAATTGTTCCTTTATGTTATTTGATGTAAACTAAAAATTCGAAACGCTGCTATTTCCAAAAACTCCAAAAAGTTGAGTTGCAATATAGGCAATATTTGAATTTGGTTACCTACTGTAGCCCTTAGTATAGGCAAGTATGTACATATGTATGTTAGTTTGTGGTTGGTAATTGTTTTAGGACTAGTTGTATATCGGTTGGAGATTTTTAATATTATTTAGACTAAATTTTACTCAAAAGACAAATTTTATTTATGGATAATATACATATGCACATACATATATGTATGTATTTAAAATCAAAAATAAAAAAAATTAGTTACGTTAAATAATTTACCAGGTTGTAGATCAAAATTAAATAAGGTGTCCACTAATGTGTACTTAACCCAATTATCGAATATTACTTATATAAAGAGCTCAAAGATTATTGACCTACCCTGACTACAGACTATTTAGCTGCGATTACAATGCTCAACGATGTTATCTATTCATTCCCTTTTTAGTTAACTGCTTTATCTAATAATATGATTTATAATAAATATGCATTTGTAAGTTAAAACCTACATACAAAGTTTTATTTCTTCTACATTCTCACAACACTTGCTTGATACGTGCATTACTTACTAGCTAAGAAAAGATCAACTATATTAGCAAATAAAATACATCTATCCAATCGAAATTTAGCAGACTAAAGACCCGGCATAACATACGCAATATTATCCAATGTCACTGATAAGTTCTCGCTCAATTGGGGCTTTTTTTCCAAACCAGGTATGCGTGTAGTCAGGCACAGAAGCGGACCCAGCGAGCAAAGCAGACTGTCCAGTAGCACGGAAAGGCTACCAGACACAGCAATTTGCCCCTCATGCTCCTTAAGGCGCTCACCGATTATAGTAAGACTTTCACCGAGCAGCTTGAGATGCGCGGCTGTATCAATAGGTTCTATGTTTGGCAGTGCCGTCTTCCTATTGTGCAAATTTGTGTTATGTGAAGTGACTGACGTGATGCCTGCTAAATTGTTTGCGCCGATATTGTTGGTGTGAAGCGCAGGTGAGGAAAGGTTGCTGTTGCCTACTACCATACTGCCACGATTACTGCTATTATTTCGTCTGCGTTTTGCTGTCAAACCAGAGGTTGGTGAACCTCCGACGTTGTCAGCTATGGATAGAGAATTACCGCGCGGCTTCGCCCTCATAGTTGCTAATGTTGTAACTGATTGTGGCGACTGTTGTCCGTCTTCATCCATCTTTTTGGCGCGACTCGTGGTAGGTTTAAAATACGACATATAAGGATTAGTGGGGACCGTAACTACACTCTCCCTTGATTTCGCTTTCGTAGCTTGAATTTTGGCTTTACGTCTCCACGAATCTTTCTCTTTATTTGAAACGTTCGCCCATAATTCTCCGAGACGTTTGGCGGTATTTGAAAAATCTATAAAAACCATTTTTTTTAATAAAATTTTGATTTTGTTCGGAATTATTTATTATTATTATTTATTATTTACTTACCNGTAGCTTGAATTTTGGCTTTACGTCTCCACGAATCTTTCTCTTTATTTGAAACGTTCGCCCATAATTCTCCGAGACGTTTGGCGGTATTTGAAAAATCTATAAAAACCATTTTTTTTTTTAATAAAATTTTGATTTTGTTCGGAATTATTTATTATTATTATTTATTATTTCCTTACCTAAATCTTGTCCTTTGCCTAATTTGCCAGATTTTCGTAGCTCACGTGCCCACATGCTGTACGCTGTATAGCGTGTTTTACCCTTGTCCTTGCGCTCTACCTTCCCCGTAACAACTCGACCGTCTTTCAATACTCTCCGCTTATTTGCTTTTTCAGTCATATACAAACTTTGGCGCACTTTTGACTCTGGATTTCCGTTGCTATCGATGCCTTCAGCATCGACAATGCCAGCAACTAACTCCTTGAGATCTTCATCCGAATCACCTGGTGGGGTATTTATATCACCAAAATTTTCACCATCTGTTCCATTATCGCTCATGTCATCAAGCAATTCATTATCGTCTTCAGCTAAATCACTCATATCACCACCACCCAACTCACTCCTAATATTCAGGTCGGGTCTACGTGCTGGCCGCCCAACACTACCCAAAGTGTTTCTGCCACGAACATTGCCGTTACGCGCCGGGGGTTTTGCCGCTCTTTTCAGTTTCTTCTCCACTTCATCTGGTGACTGAAAGTCGAGTAGTTTGGATGATTTTTTGCGTACGCGTCCACTACGAGACACGCCAGTCACCTGAAACTCTTTGTGTCGGAATTGCTATCAGTGTGTGAAATTCTATATTAAAATAATAACCGCAAACTTACCTTTGCTAGCGGTGGAATTCTGAGGCGTTTCCATTGCTATTCGAGCTAAAATTTGGAATTTTGATTTTTTGTGATTTGTTTTTGTTCCAACTTCGTTGCTTTCTGCAAGTAGGAATGGGATTAGATTAATCGGGTTTTTCTCTACAAAAATTTATTGAATCTTTCGAACTTCCTATGCTAATTAATCGAACCCATAATCGATTAACAACGCAACGGCGGGAATCACATGGTTGCATTTCGTGATCAAAAGTGCCAATAACCGGTTCACGGTTAATTACACCACAAGGTGAATATATATGAATCGCCTTCACGGCGTGTTTACATTAGACACTAGTTGTGTTTATTTGGGTTATCCAGCAGTGGAACTCTGGCAATCGTTCGATAAATTTCCATCGCCAAAATTATCTAAATGAAAATCAGTGAGACCTAAAAGTATGTAATATGGAAAAGCAACAGAAGCAATGTGCAATCAGCCAAAGTTGGCAGTATGCGGGGCATGTAAGTAGATGCGCCTCTCTTCTTGGGCAACAGAGAAAGGAGTACTGAGCGTTATAATCGTTTTGGAAAAAATCCAAATTTCCGCTGTTTTAAAACAACTCCCAATGGGTCTTTAGCATGGGGTGGGGGTGAGGGGTGATTTTCATAAAGCGGCGTCCATCCTCTTTCGTTTAGGGAGGGTTTGGGGAGCAAGTTAAAAGAAGCAATGGCAGAATATATGTTTGTGAATACATTCATACATATGTCAGTGCTACCAAACCGTATTGCCATATTATCAGTGACACAAACCAAAAAGAGCGTACCAAAATGTAAATTAATGTAGGTTTTCCAGAAAATTTTAAAAATCCGACTTCAAGCTCAAAAAAATTTTGATTTCACTTTTTGTAATAGATAAGTAGATAACAAATTTGGGTATTTTTTCAAATTGGTTGTTTTTTCTTCAGATTTTGATTGGTTATTTTTTTAAAAGTGGCAACCGTGCTTCTAGCTTCTAAATAACCGATTCACATTTCACCACCGAAGTACGAAATCAAAAAGGAATAGGAAAACCCAAGCGTCCGCAAAATCCCTGAAAGTGCAAATATTTCAACTAATTGTCACAAATAATAAAGGCTGGAATATAGAAAAGAGGATGACTACTACAACGACTCCGCAGCAGCTGCACCAGCAACAGCAAATGCGTATTGCACTCTCAGAAATACCTAGTCGCTTGGAGGCTTTACGTTTTGCGAGTGGTGGCGCAACGACACCAACAGCACCAAATCGGCATAGCCCGAATGAGCCAACGCCAGCAACAATATTTAACACCCCCCATCTCTTAGACAACACTACGAATGTAGCACTTTCTCAGGATAATATGTCTCCAATGCCCTCGCCGGATGAAATGATTATACGCCAACGCGGTCGACGACGTTTTAATACTTGTCTTTCTCCAGACGCAGGAAGTACGCCACTACGTATGCCCTTCCAACGTACACCAACAAAGGTGCCACTAAGTACGAGCATGATCTTGCGCAGTTCACCCCGTAAGCGCCTTACAATGGGTAGCACGCCTCCAGCACCTGAATCACCAGTAATGGCTTCTCCAACGAAGGCGAAACAGCAGTTATGGCCACCAGGTACACCGTTGGCAAAAAAATTGCGACTTGACGATGAAGATAGCAATAAACCAATTGCACAAATGAATGGAGAAACACCATTGCCTATGTTGTTGAAAGGTATGTCGCAACAACAGCTTATTGAACTAATTGTTGAAGAGTTAGTGGCGGGAGACACAAAAACGGAGGAGCGTTTGCGGTCACGGCTGCCCATTCCAGATATAAAGTAAGTAGTATCTAAATGAATGAAGTTTTTATTTAAAATCGTTCTAAATTATTTGCAGTCCACTGGAAGAAGAATTATTGCACGCTAAGCGACAAATATTTCGCTCTCTACCTACTTCGCGCCTTTGTAAGAAGACAGACAGCAGCGCTTATTCGCGTGCAGCGCTGCACCTCAGTGAATTCAAACGTCTACTCTGCGGGCACGNGCTAAGCGACAAATATTTCGCTCTCTACCTACTTCGCGCCTTTGTAAGAAGACAGACAGCAGCGCTTATTCGCGTGCAGCGCTGCACCTCAGTGAATTCAAACGTCTACTCTGCGGGCACGCCAAACAATTATATGACTCAGGAAATTGGGATGCATTACTGGACTACATCACCATGGCTTGGCCCATTGTACGTGCGACACCGTACTGGGATAGCGCTACACATAATGTAATGCGACGCCAGTGCTTCAAGCTGCTGGCATGCCATTGCATTGCAGCGTTGAAAAATGGCGGAGCACGTTTGGGAACAATACGTCTACATGCGGTCGAACGAAATTTACTCGAATGGACCCGAGACTACGAAGATGTACAATCATGTCTGAGTGCATTGAACAAAGCGATTGCAAAGGGGCGCGCAACGCTATAGTATTTTCCTGTTCGTTATATACAATAAGTAGTTGTAGGATTTTTTAACTAAGGACTTAAGCGAGCGCGCACGTTAATGAGCCGTAGTTATCCGCATGATAGTTAGTTTTTAAATGTTTTCCTTTTAATCTATATATACTTTTTAAATAGAGCGTATTTATTTTAAAGTTGCCATACACTGCATGAAATTTTTAAAGCTGTATAAACTGGCTAATTGTGATCCTAAAGACAAGTGACTAAAGCAATCACAACTTATTGATAAACTCATAAAAAAACGTATGTATTTAGGTTTGCCTATGTATTCCTATATGTAGTTTTTAAGTTCAATCGACATTATATTTGTACATACTTACATAAATACATATTATGGAACCATTGAGTCGCGGCAGGGTGATGCATGCACATCTTGCTTAGTATCGAAAATATTTCAGCTACATTTGTAAACAGCAAACGAACAAATTAATTGTTTAATGTTTAAGCCATAAAAAGTACGCTTTTCTTAACATACATTTTACATACTGCTCATTTAAAAATCAGCCATATTGCATGCCTTCATTTTATTTTTAAGCAAAATCATATTGATACTTACATTTACTCTTGGTATTATTATTTTTAGTATTTTAATAATTTTAAGTTAAAAAATGTTGCTTTATTAAAATACGGCGGCACGTTATTTTATCCCACTGCGGGAGCGAATGATTAAATACTAATTCTTTTATTAATACCGTATATGTGTAATTTACTTTATTTTTTCATGTCATAATTTCATGTTTACTATGCTTGCACAAACTGTTAAAAATTCGAAATAATTTGAATATAATTAAATTTTTAAATTTTTACTAGTAAAAGTTCTTGATTTGTACTTTCTCGTCGCCAAAAAAGCTAAATATGTAAGGCAACAGTTAAAGCAGTTGGGTCTACGTGCAGAGCAGGTATTGCTCACGCGGATAAATGGGATCGTTAACCAATATCGTTCATGTGAGACGACGGCCGTTCACACATTAACCCACACAGTTATACTCGAAGACATTGAAAAAATAAAGCAGTAGCCTGCGAATTATCCCAGTGGTGGACGCTTGTCGGCGTAGTTATGAGCTCAAACCTCAAACCTACAGTTCAACTTAATTTCGAACACTCCTTTACTTATCAGAGTGTATTTGCGTGATACCATATAACATTAGTTTTGCAGTATCATGAAGAAAAAAATATTTGCATTCACTGGAGATAAATCCCACGAATTTCTGCAAAAAAAAAATCAACCAATTTTATATTCTTTTTTTTGGGTTGTGCCTCTTTTGAAGATCGTGTGCGATATGTACGGTGACTCAAACAAGTGATCTCATGTTGATTTTTGGGTAAAATTTGCGTTAACCCAACCGAAAATTTGTAACTGGTTTTTGTGGAATGCAGCAGAGAACATGTAATTACTTCTTGCATTCAGGGCTATTTGAGGACTTGGTTGGGATCATTTCGCGACCTGTGCAGGACTATTTGGGTACCATATTGGGACTCGTTCAAGAACATTTCGGGACAAGTTCGGGATCTTTTTGGACCTAGTTAAGGTCCATCATCACTAATAATAGATGTGAAATCAATGTTTTATTTCTAACTTGTCAATCAAATTTCATGAGTACTTGAGTCTCACGCATTTTTTTTTATATAATTCGACGGCTGAGTGGAAGAGCGACCTATCTCGACAGCCAGTTCGAAAACTTTTCAATAGCGCTCTATTTCGGAATTTGGTTGAAGAACGCCCTATCCCAATGTAAATTCAATATAACGGCAGCTCAGATATGGCACAGCCGTCGAAATGCAATTTATAAAGCTGGCGCTAATTTTTTGCAATTTTTTATTCTATAAGAAATTTATGTTTATATGGAAAAAAGTGAAAAAATCCTTCTACACCTGGCCTTTCCTTCGCAGTGGGGGCCTCCCTCTTCCTCTGCTACCACCAGTGCGTTCCGAGTTGAATACTTTCAGAGCTGGAGCATCGGTGTCCATTCGAATGACATGGCCAAGTCAGCGGAGCCGCTGTATTTTAATTCTCTACGCTATGTCCATGTCATTGTAAAGCTCATACAACTCATCGTTCTATCGTCTGAGGTACTCACCGTCGCCAACGCGTAAATGCCGGTAAATCTTCAGCAAAATCTTTCTCCCGAATACTCCCAAGACCCGCCTCATCGGATGTTGTGCATGCTTCTGCACGGGCATGATGAGTGACTTAGAGAGTGTGGTTTTCGTACGCCGAAAGAGGCTACACAGTCCAAAGTAGCACTTGGTGGCAAGAGTGATTCTGCGTTGGATTTACATGCTGACATTATTATCGGTGCCACTCCCAGAATTGTTCTATACGAAAAAAATACCGCTGTTTTTTATCTTGAAATCAAACAATATTTAGGGAGTGCTCAAAGCGCTCAAAATTTTCCATGTATTTTATATGGCGAAATACAAATTTTCGTAGAAATGGTATAGAATTCTTAAAAATCAATATTTTTCGATCGATTCTGGTTCTCTTCAGGAGACTTCCAATATTAACATCCAATTGTTTATATCAAAATTTTTTAATACTAAAGATTTTTTATTGCATTGCATTTTCTGGGGGCTTGGCGGACCTATAAAATATAGTTACCATGAAAAAATGGTCAAAGAAACAACTGGGTATTATTATTGGGAATCTTCTGAAGAGAAGCACAGTTTTCCGAACGCAAAATATTGATTTTCAAGAATTCTATACCATTTCTACGAAGAGTATAATACACGGAAAACTTTGAGCGCTTTGAGCCCTCCCTAAATATTTTTTTTATTTCAAAATCAAAAATAGAGGTATTTTTTTTGGTACAACAATCCAATCCTAGTGGGTGGCGGCATTAAAATTACGACTAAATTTTTTTTTGGACCACCCTAATGTACACATTCATGCTCTAAAAATTAATAAATATACTTTATTGATTTTTCTTAGTAATTTTCACGCATTTATCTTGTACATTCATTTTATTTATACGAAAACAATATTTTGTTTTTTTAATAACTTAACGAAATTTAGTATAATTACAGACTACTACGCATTCATGCAACAATTTTGATTTCGTTTTTTTTTATACAATAAAACATACATTTATATATTCATACACTTGTACTTACGATAATTTAAAATTAATTAAAAACATTCTTAAGTTCGAAATTATGACAACAGCATCCATTTATGACAACAAAATAATTGGTTAATTGTACACTTGCGTTAAGAGTTGGCAATATTTACACTCCAATAAAAACAAACAATAAATTGCAGAATATTTATATATTCTAAATTCCATTATACGCAATTTTTGCAGTTACATGAAATATGGCGTTGTTTTTTTTAATGTGTTTTCTAAAAAAGTTTCCACGACAACTTTCAACTTCAAAAAGTTTAGTTAAAACTAGTTTTTAACACACTCGTTTTCTGTTACACTGACTAATGTGTGCTTCGAATGACGGCTACGTCCACATAGTATATTATGTTTTGGTTTCTTGTTTTAAAAACATCAAACTAAAATAAAGTTTAAATTTCTAATTGTAAAGCTTATTTAATGAAATGTCTGCGTGCGACTGTTGAAGATAAGCGATTACCATAGTTAGCAGTAGTAAGGAACTAGCACTCGTCTGTTGAGGAGCTGTAGAAATGTGTCGCCCTGTAATGAAAGAGAAGATTGATGGATGCAAATTTAGTATTTATAAAATGAAATTATATATAATTATTAGAAAAATTTGATATTTTTTTGTGTACAGTAGTGCAATACGGAAAGCTTCCGGGGGCAATGCTCAATAAGTAAAATCCATATACATACATACATATGTATGACATAAAGGTACGTGAATTGAGTACTTTCCGCACCACAAATATCTGCTGTTTATTTGAATGCATAGCCAAACACTACCAATTCATTAAAAGTACAATTTAAATAATTAAATGGTGACAAAACAAGGATTAATGTAGTTATCATTTTTTTATGAAAGGAAATTGACTCATTGGTAAGTACAAACGTACATATATACAATGATTACTGTTGTTGTTTTCTTGATTTTTTTGGAAAGCAATACAAGTAAGGGCGAGACGTTATTAAGCTGTATATATTTACATATTGTATAGCAATGAGTCAATAGTCGTAATAAAGGAAGAGAGAAAGAAATCCATATTATGAATTTATATAAAAAAAAAAAAAAAATTAAGAATATAAAATGATAATGTAAACTAAAAGAAAAGCAATAAAATAATACCGAAGTAAATATGTATTTGCAGGTCTTGAGACTTCTGCTACATCTATGCAGATGACTAACCTGCGCGTTTGAAGATGAGACTTGAATTTTAATTTCAGGTTTTGGTTGGAACAATGCAACAATGGGACAGCTTGAGATTTAGCAATGATTCAAATATCGGTTATTATACTAATCTACACATTTTGTGCACACCAAATACTGAAATAGCTGTCTAATATATTAATTTAGATGAATTCTGGTGATTCTTTAATATTAATAAGTAATTTTTAGGCGAAAATCAATTATAAAAATTTTGGAGTACCGTTAATGTTTTCATGATCCAATGATCGGACCTAAACCAGATTAGTATGGGACCACCTCTGAGACACTATCTTTCCGAAAAACATTCGAAATCGGTTGACGTGGTCCAAAGTTTTGCAGTAACATACATAAAAAAAATAATCCAGACGAATTGATAACCTCCTCCTTTTTTTGAAGTCGGTTAAAAATAGTTTCCTACTATCACGCCGTCGACTCAGGACAACGTTCTTTATAATTCAAATTAACAAAGGATTAAATTGACTGACATTTGACAAAAAACAAAAAAAACCAGGATGTTAAGTCGGATGAGGAGCCGTCTCGTGGCACATCCTGAGTGCTTAAATAAATGAACCATATGCATAAGGTTTTCAAATATTGAAATTAATAATTGCGAATACAATAGATAGCGATTGGAAAAACAATAGATAGCATAATGGAACGGTTCTCGCATTTTAGGAGTTATTAATTTTTTCCAAAATATCGCACTCCTGATCCACTGTGCTATGCAAGGAGTAATTGTGCATTAATAAACTTGCATCATTGCGATTGTATTTACTGGGAAATCGATTGTCACTTGCACTTTTTAAAACTATAACACATACATATGTATCTTTATCGAAGAATTATGTATGTATGTATGTATGTACATATATAAAGTTGTTTGTGTCATTTCACAAATGGTTTCTTGAAATATTCTAATAGCACATTATCTAAAAAAAATTAATGAACCATTTTGCTATGTGCAATAGCTTCATAAATGCATATAATATAAAATGTTAATGGCTCATCTTTCTCCAACAACGCATTTCGCTGCCATGCTGCCAATAAATATACCCACATTCTACAAACTCCTTTGCACAAAATTAATAAAGTTGGAGGGCTAAGAGTGGACTGTTGTTATAGCGGCTCCCACGCACCTCATTGCGGTGAAAGTGTTTGTGCCACATTTACTGCATTGGGATAATAAATAACGACTTACAAATACCCCCGATATCCGTGCAATACTAGAAGCAGCACACCTAAATGTAAACAAATTTATGAGGAATCAAAAAGAGAATTAAAATCTGAGTAGAACGGAAAGAACAAAAAAAAAAATGAAATGAATAAATTTGTGCAAAGCCAGACGGCATGCCTGAATAAGCTGACGAGGCGCTAAGTATGGGAGCAGAGATGTACGCACAGATGTAGGTATGGATCTGTTTATGTATGTATGTCTTTATGTATGTATGTATGTTGT